AGGGTTGCCTTGGTCACCATGCCCATACTCCTGCCAGGGGATTGGCCAAGGTCTCTCAAGTCTGCAGATCTGAGTCTCCTCCCCTCTCCCATCCCTCCTCCAGAAAGCTCTCAGGTTTCTGGAGAGGTGGGAAGGCTCCAGACTCTCTGACCTTCAGAACCTCCTAGCCTGTCCTGAGGTAACCTCACTCCCTCACTCCCAGGCTGACTCATTCACAGGCTTTTAACACTGTTTAAAAATACACTACAATAGCTAAACATCTGTTCAAGAAACAAGTATAGAATATAAATGTGAACAAAGCATCTCAACCAGATAGCTTACACACATGGATCCTCAAAGAGTTTAGCTCCATAATTAAGCCGATTTTTTTTCTCATTTTTAAAAATAAATATTTTTTCTATGTGTTTGTTCACACATGTGTCTTTTATAAATCATAGTCTCTATCATTTTCATTTATCTCTTCTATCTGAAGTACCTGGTTGCTCCTGCCAATCACCTTTCTTCCTTGTTCTAACTGACCACCCAAAGCACAGAAGGTGATCTGTTCTTGCATGGTCAATTTTCAGCCTTTGGCCACCATTCAGAAGTACAGAACACTATGCAGACGCACAACATGCCTTTATTGGGTAGTCAAATACATTGTATGATTACAACTACTTTAATGACAGGCACAGTGTACAAAAGCAAATCCCAGCAACTCAGTACCTTGTGATGACCAACCACAGCAATCACTAATCTAAACACTTTACATCTGAGAGCCCTCTCCATGTCACAATGGAGGATGGAGAAGGATGATCTTATCAATGAATGAATCATTCATCAGCAGTGGAAACAAGGCAGTAGCAGATTCAGGGGTGAGTGTGTGTAGGGAAAGGGGTGGGTTACTGTTATGATTGTGGATACCCTTTAGCCCTTTCACCCACTCCTCTCCTGTACATCTTAGTTTTATCCTGTCTCTAGTTACCTGTATATTAACACCTTCATCTCCCTTACCCTGCACGTTAAAGTGATATTTAATGCCAATTGTTTTAAAAAAATATTTCAGTGCTGACCTGAACACTGACAAAGTCTGCAGATCCTTCGTATTGTAAAGATTCCTACTCCTGCAATTTAATGCTGGTTTTGCTTTCCAGATTCCAGGATGGGTCCTTAACTTCCATAGTCCTATAGAGCCACCCTGTGGCAGTCGCTCCAGTGAAAGGACTATAGCGTAATGTAAACAAACTGTCTGTTCTCAAGATTAATTTTGCATTAATTTGGTGAATGGCTGGGGGCATATGCACACTGAGATGCTGGGACAAGTAGTACAGAGGAAGGTATCATGTAGTTTATGACATAGAATTAGTGCACACTCCCTGGCATGGTACAGAGGAGTCTATGTAAGTGTACATGGAGCAATTCTTCACTATTCATTTATGGTGCTTTGCTACATGTATTAACAGGAATATGTTTCTAGAAAGAAAAGAGGTTTGAGTACTACTCTAACCCCCTCATCTCCATCCTCCCCCTGTATGTGACCTATACTTTTTTAAATTTAGATAAGTCGTCAAAGGTTTAAAAGCTTGCTGTAAATTAGGCAGAAGAAGCATAGGGTGGGAGATGAAGAAAATAAATACTTATACAGTGTTTTTTTGTTCTCCGGATGGCTTGGTCAAGCTGGTACCACTCCAATTAGCCTTAATGGTACACAAGAAGGGCTCCAGAGTGGGATAAAAATGAGAGGAGAAAAAAAGACACCCCTAACTTGTTCCAGTTGTAATTGGGTCTGTTCACCATGTTTTTAGAAGTTAATTTTAAGTCTATATTTAGTAGTGCAATAGGGTCATAGATCTTTATCTTCCTTTGATTGACGGTTATATGACCTCAGTTGCAATTGATAGGCAACAGGGTATCTTTCAGAATGGAGTTATAGGTGTGTAAAAAGTGATTGGACAACAACAAAAGAAACATTTTATAACATGGTAGGGTGAAGTCATTGGGGCCTTGGGCATTCCCTGCTTTACTTTGTTTGACAGCAAAATCTAGGTCTTTCTAGGATAGAGGTATTTCTTGATGCTCTTGATTCTCCTGTGCAAATAAAGGGCATGCTTGGGTTTCTGATAATCTTTTATCACATCCAATTTATCCTGTAGCTGAGGAGATGCCTAATTAGTTTGTAAAGTACAAAATGTTTTTTAAAAGTCTCAGAATTCAGAGGCTGTATTTTCAAAGTGGAGAGTCGTTCTCAACTGTGTGAAATGATGTGGGGGATGAAAGAATTAGTTTGAAGGTGGGCCTCTAAGTGACATTATCAACAGTTTGTCTGGCTTGTTCGAATATTCATAAAAAGTTCTCCTGCCCGCTAGCGGGTGTTTGAGTTTTTTTTCCTGAAGAAGCACCGTTTGTACTGGGGGCTACAAAGTCAAGTGGGAGATGGATGGGGACATAATTAGAGAGGATAATGTTATGAATTCTGAAAGGATAGTGGGTAGGTATTTAAGTTGTATAAAGAATTACTCTATCCACGATTATGTTTTATGAAAAGAGTAGAATGTATAGTCTTAGGGTTGTTTGTTAAAGTAGCATTCCAGTCAAATCCTAACTACAGTGCCTTAAAGTATTCATACACCTTGAAGTTTTCCACATTTTGTCACCACCAAAAACATAAATGTATTTTATTGGGATATTATGTGATAGACCAACACAGAGTGGCACATAATTGTGAAGTGAAAGGAAAATGATAAATGGTTTTCAAAATTGTTTACAAATAAATATATGGAAAAAGTGGCGTACATTTGTATTCAGCCCCCCTGAGTCAATACTTTGTAAAACCACCTTTTGCTGCAATTACAGCTGCAAGTCTTTTTGGGTATGTGTCTACCAGCTTTGCACGTCTAGAGAGGGAAATTGTTGCCCATTTTTATTTGCAAAATAGCTCAAGCTCTGTCAGATTGGATGGAGAGTGTCTGTAAACAGCAATTTTCACGTCTTGCCATAGATTCTCAATTGGATTTAGGTCTGAACTTTAACTGGGCCATTCTAACACATGAATTTTGTTGTCCTGCTGGAAAATTAACATCCGCCCCAGTCTCAAGTGTTTTGCAGACTCAAACAGGTTTTCTTCTAAGATTGCCCTGTATTCGGGTCCATCCATCTTACCATCAACTCTGAACAACTTCCCTGTCCCTGCTAAAGAAAAGCTTCCCCACAACATGATGCTGCCACCACCATATGTGGGGATGGTGTGTTCAGGGTGCTGTGCAGTGTTAGTTTTCCTGCATACATAACATTTTGCATTTAGGCCAAAAGTTTAAATTTTGGTCTCATCTGCCCAGAGCACCTTCTTCCACGTGTTTTCTCTGTCCCTCGCAAACTGCAAACAGGTCTTTTTTATGGCTTTCTTTAAACAATGGCTTTCTTCTTGCCACTTTTCCATGAAGGCCAGATTTGTGGAGTGCGTGACTAATAGTTGTCCTGTGGACAGATTCTACCGCCTGAGCTGTGGATCTCTGCAGCTTCCCCAGAGTTACTATGGGCCTCTTGGCTGCTTCTCTGATTAATGCTCTCCTTACCTGTCAGTTTAGGTGGCCGACCATGTCTTGGTAGATAGGCAGTTGTGCAATACTCTTTCCTTTGTCGGATGATGTATTGAACAGTGTTCTGTGAGATGTTCAAAGCATGGGATATTTTTTTATAACCTAACACTGCTTTAAACTTATCTACAACTTTATCCCTGGCCTGTCTGGTGTGTTCTTTGGCTTTCATGATGCTGTTTGTTCACTAATGTTCTCTAACAAACCTCTGAGGGCTTCACAGAACAGCTGTATTTATACTGAGATTACATAACACAGAGGTGGACTCTCTTTATTAATTAGATGACTTCTGAAGGCAAATGGTTTCACTAGATGTTAGTTAGGGGTATCAGACCAAAGGGAGCTGAATACAAATGCACACCACACTTTTCATATATTTATTTGTATAAATTTTGAAAACCATTTATCATTTTTCTTCCACTTCACAATTATGTGCCACTTTGTGTTGGTATGACACATAAAATCCCAATAAAATAAATTTACGTTTTTGGTTGCAACATGACAAAATGTGGAAATTTTCAAGGGATATGAATACTTTTTCAAGGCATTGTATACCTAAACCTGCTCCTACACCCATTCTAAGCCTATTCTAACTACCCTAAGAAGGAAAGATGTTTATATGTAGCTATTCTGAGGGCATTCTTGTCTAGTCACATGGGCAATGACGTTACCCCTAGGCTTACTATAGGGCATCTGTGGTTGGCTGTCCCTCCTTTACACTGAAGCCAACGCTGGGAACCAATCATTTGACCAGACTGGAGCATTGGCAAGTATAGGTATAGCTCAGTATAGGTAAGTGTAGAAATCTTACCTTTCACAGGGTAGTTAGAATAGGCTTAGAATGGGAGTGGGAGTAGATTTAGGTATAATTTTAGGGTTTGACTGGAATGTTACTTTAAGTTTTTTTTTTTCAGATAAGAAAAAGAGAGATAGGACATACCTTTGCAAGTGTTGAATCGGGGGTACAAAGGTAAAATTCAAATCACCCCACCAAGAGCAAGGTCCCCCGCACATTATTCAAGTAGTTGTTGGGTGACAGTGTGAAGGATAGTCCAATTTAGGCAGATAAATATTGTCCAGTTTTATAAACAGGTATCATTCTTGTTCAAACGATAAACAAAGAAAGCACAACCTAGTGCAGTAAAACCTTTTTTATTGGCTGATGTACCAGACAACATAAAATGCACTCACATGATCAATAGATAAATCATTCCTTAACCACCTCCTGCCCGTCATATAGTCCAATGACGGGCGCAAGGTGGTTCTCTCGTTCTGAGAGGACATCATATGATGTCCTTCCATTCTCACCACGCATGCTCGGCTCAGAGAGCGCGCAGCGATCGGCGGTGCGCTGTGTCCCTTGGACACAGCAGATCACCGATCACGGAAAGAGACAAAGATGTCGGCACGGTCATGTGATCAGCTGTGTCCAATCACAGCTGATCACATGTAAACACGGAAATGTCAGTTATCGGCATTTCTCTCCTCTCGAGCTGTCATGCTGACAGCTCGAGAGGAGAGCCGGTAATCTGCTTTCTGCGGAGGGAACATGTACACTGATCATCAGGGCACTGATGATCAGTGTGCTCTGATGATCAGTGTAACACCAGCAGTGCCACCTGTCAGTGTCCATCAGTGCCAGCTGTCAGTGCCGATCAGTGCCATGTGCCAGTCCCTATCAGTGCCACATGAATGCCACATAGTGCATACAGTGCACATCAATGCCACATATCAGTGCCCATCTGAGCTGCCTTTCATCAGTGCCGCTTATCAGTGTGCCTATCAGTGCCGCCTATCAGTGCTGCCTTTCAGTGCCCATCAGTGATGCCTGTCAATGCCCATCAGTGCCTCCTCATCAGTGTCCATCAGTGCAGCCTATCAGTGCCAATCACTGCAGCCTCATTAGCACACATCAGTGAAGGAGAAAAATCACTTATTTACAACATTTTATAACAAAAACTAAAACTTTTTTTTCAAAATGTTCAGTGGTTTTTGGTTTAAGAAAAATTTTTTAAAAACCCGCGGTGATTAAATACCACCAAAAGAAAGCTCTATCTGAAAAAATGATAAAGATTTCATATGGGTACAGTGTTGCATGACCACGCAATTGTCATTCAAAGTGCGACAGCACTGAAAGCTGGAAATTGGCCTGGGCAGGAAGGGGGTATAAGTGCCCAGTAGGCTAGTGGTTAACATATCCACAATGGTCAGCAGCCCATCCTAAGAGCAACTCTTGCCTGATCACCTGCGATCCTTTGATGTCCAGCTGAAGATGAAACACACTGACAGGAGCACTATGTGTAACAGCAACCTGCTGTGTGGGATAGGAGCCCAGGGAGAGAAGAAACTGGTAGAGCCACTCACCTCCAGCCACCCCGGCAGTAGACAGCGTCAAACATCTGTGTAAAGGGAGGTAAGGGGAGGGGGACTGATCAGGAAGGATTCCGTATGTTAGAAAGCTAAGGAGTATTTGAATAGTCTGGTCACATGAAGCATATTGGAGGCATATCCTCCTTTCTTAAACATGCTCTTTTGAAATTAGCACGTTTGATAAAGGAGGATATGCGTCATGTGATCAGGCTATTCAACTACTCTCTAGCTTTCTGCCATTTGGAGTCTATCCATGTCAAATGGCGCCTTCGCATCAAACACCTGGAATATGCCATGTTGTTTCCTGCCCGCCTCCCGGTGGTGGGTGAAGATTGGGTACATTTCTTTGAGGATCCAGAGGTGGCTTCATCCTGGCTTGATCAACGGGATGCAGATCTAAACCGCCCTGATTGATCCCATTTTCTAACCTATTATATTTATAAATGATATAGGGCCTGGGATTAAATATACAATTTCAGTCTTTGCAGATTACACCAAGCTATGCAGTGGAATAACATCCTTACAGGATGTCTCCAATTTACAAGCTGACTTCAATACAGTGTTTAATTGGGCAACCATGTGCAAATGAGGTTTAATGTTGATAAATGTAAGGTTATGCACTTGGGGGCTAAAAATATGCATGCATCATACATACTAGGGGGAGTACAACTGGGGGGATTAAAGGTGGAGAAGGATCTGGGAGTTCTGGTAGATCATAAACTTAACCACTTGCTCTCCAGAGGATTTACTCCCCTTCCTGACCGGGCCATTTTTTTGCCATACAGCGCTGCGTTACTTTAACTGATAATTGCGTGGTCATGCAACGCTGCACTCAAATGAAATATAAGTCCTTTTTTTCCCACAAATGGAGCTTTCTTTAGGTGGTATTTGATCGCCTCTGCGTTTTTTTTTTTTTTTTTTTAATTTTTGTGCTATAAACAAAAAAAAGACCGACAATTTTGAAAAAAAAACCCAGCATTTTTTACTTTTTGCTATAAAACATATCCAGTAAAAAAATTTAATAAATTAAATTTCGACATAAATTTGGGCAAAAATGCACAGTATTCTGCTACATGTCTTTGCTAAAAAAAAATCCCAATTGGTTTACGTGAAAGTTTATAGCGTCTACAAATGGTGGTATATATACTGGAATTTTTTTTTTCTAATACTAGTACTGGCAGCGATCAGCGACTTATAATGGGACTGCGGCAGGCATTCTGACACTGGGGGGGAACTAACTGCCACTGACATCCCCAGTGACACTAATACAGTGATCAGTGCCAATACAAAGCACTGACACTGTACTAATGCAACTGGGCAGGAAGGAGTTAACATCTGGGGCGATCAAAGGATTAACTGTGTGCTGTTTTACTATTTTGTCTGTGTTTGCTTTACTGTGTAAGGACGCTGCTTTGTATTGCTCTGCATAGCAAAGCAATACAAAGCTGCGTGCTGGTGCTGACAGGGGAGAGATTTGTATTCTTTGTCAGTGTTCCTCGGCGATCGCCAGGTGCCGGTGGGAAATACAAAATCATGCATATATACATGATTTTGCGCAGCCCTTCCACCCTGTAGCAGTAGTTCTGGTAAAGGGCGGTCAGGAAGCAGTTAATAATGGCATGCAATGCCAAGCTGCGGTTTCTAAAGTGAGTAAAATCCTTTCGTGTTAAAAGAGGTATAGACCCCAGAGAGAAATAATTTTACCCCTGTACAAATCATTAGTAAGACCTCATCTGGAATATGCAGTTCAGTTTTGGGCACCAATTCACAAAAAGAACATTAGGGAATTGGAGAAAGTGCAGAGAAGAGCAACCTAACTAATAAGAGGCGTGGAGGAGCTCAGTTATGAGGAAAGATTAGAGGAATTTAATTTATTCTCACTTCATCATGTATAAATACATCAGTGGTTCATATAGTGAACTCTGTGTAGAGTTATTCACCCTGAGGTCATCACAAAGGACAAGGGGGCACTCTTTACATCTGGAGGAAAAGAGATTTAATCTCCAAATACAGAAAGGTTTCTGCACAGTAAGAGCTGTAAAAATGTGGAATAGACTCCCTTAAGAGTTGGTTCTGGCCAGCTCAGTGGATTGCTTTAAAAAAGGCCTTTATCTTTCCTAGATACACATAATATAACTAGATACTAACATTTATAGGTAAATTTGATCAAGGGAATATCCGATTGCCTCTCGGGGGATCAGGAAGGAATTTTTTCCTCTGCAGGAGGAAATTGGATCATGCTCCCTCAATCCCCTCATGTTTTTTGCATTGTATTGTTATTGTTCTGTCACATGTTCTGTCCCCCTGTGTAATGTACAGTGCTGAGCGAACTATCGGTGCTTTATAAATACTGTATAATAATAATGCTTTGCTTGGTTTTTCACAGTCCTCTGGATCAACTGTGGGTATAGGATTATAACTTTTTTTTTTTTTCTTTTATGGTTGAACTAGATGGACTTTTGTCTTTTTTCAGAGACTATGTAACTAAGTAACCTCAGAGGTCATGAGTAAGATCCCTACTGCCCCCGATATCCCATAAGAGACTTTGTATTTTCCCTTAGTTGGTTCCTGTCAGACTCTGTCAGGAATCCTATCGCCATGCAGCCGTGTGACAGATCCCCTCGAGCCGCGGCGCTACGAGTGTGCAGGCGCGGGAGCGTGCAGCCACGCATGCACAGTAGTGCGGAAAACTCGCACATGCGCAGTAAGCGCACACGTCATGTCAGGCGGGCTATTTAAACCTGCTCAATAGTAAAATCAATGCCTTCTGGTCTACAACGTTCCTGCACATATTCCTGATACCTGTATTCTGATTTACCTGACTAAGAAGGAACTCCGCCTGCACTGACCCCGGCTATCCCTGACCATTCGTTTGCCTGCTCCTTTTATACTTTATCTGCCCACTTGATACTGACCGGGCTTGTCTGACTCTGCTACATTAACCTACCTACACCTGCACCTGGCTTGCATCCTGTCGGCTATCATACTTACCTGCCGCTGCACCCACGATTCCGCATTTGGCCTGCATCCGAGTCACCGTCATACCTGCCTGCTACTGGACCCACGCACCGGTGTCCGGTCCCAATCCGCATCCTGACTGCCGCCATACCTGCTTGCTGCTGCACCTACATTCCTGCACCCACATCTGGCCTGTGTTCGGATCTCCTGGGTCCCCTGCTACCTGTCGTCCGCTTCAGATTCACACGGCACTTCTGCCACTTCTGGCTCTGCACCCTCTGTTCCCACTATCAGGGGCTCCGAGCGGGAGTTGTAAGAGGACGCCCTCTCTCCATGTCAAGTTCCCCAATCAGGTACGTGACCGTACCAGAAGACCATGTCGGAGCCTGAGAGAGGGGCCTCTCCTCTGGAAGAAATCTGCCAACACATTGCGGCACTGACACAAGGCCTGCAAGAGGGGTACAACCGCCTGGAGGACCGTTTTCAACCCTATCTCCACCAGCATCTGCTGCTAGCACCTCAGCAACACCCCCTCCAACTGCCGCTCCAGGAGCCAGGGCAGGACTTGTGATGACACTGTGGCCACTGTGATGATGTTGCCCCCTGACCCTAGGGTACCTACACCCAAGAGATTTTCTGGCGACCGCCACAAATTCAGGGCCTTCCGAAACGCATGTGAGCTGTATTTTGCGTTGCAACTTCGCACCTTTTCTCTGGAAGCAATTAAAGTGGGATTTGTGATCTCCCTTCTCCAGAGCAAACCACAAGCATGGGCTAACCATTTGATGGAGAAGGCAGATGCCAAAATGTCCTCCCTAAACAGTTTCTTTGAAGCTATGGCACAGCTTTATGATGATCCCTAGCGATCTGCGTCTGCGGAAGCTGCGCTACATTCTCTCTAGCAAGGTCGCAGGGCAGCAGAGAACTATGTAACCGAGTTCCAGCTCTGGAGTGCTGATACCGGTTGGAATGACGCTGCCCTACATTATCAATTTCGTTTAGGTCTTGCCGAACCCCTGAAAGATGAGTTAGCTCGAGTTGGAGTACCTAGTACCTTGGAGGAACTTATCAAGCTGACTATTCAAATTGACCGCCAACTCAGGGAATGAAGGCTGGAAAGATCCGCAGGTCAAGTTCGCCCCACATGGATGCTGCCCAGGGTACCACCTCCAACAAGCATGGCATCAACCAGTTCTGCCACACCCAGTTCTGACAGGTCTGAGCCCATGCAAATAGGGTTGCTACAAACCACACTCACTCCGGAAGAACGGCAACGCTGCCGACAGGGCAACTTATGCCTCTACTGTGGAGAACCCGGACACTATGTACAAAACTGCCCTGCAAAATCACGTAAGTCTCTGACCACCCTGCCTGCTAAAATACCTGCTGTCAACCCTGCTCAGCTCACCATCTCAGTTTCGTTTCAGCTTTTGGGAAGAACTTTGCCAGTAACCGCTATAATTGATTCTGGGGCCTACAGTTGCTTCATTGACACAACTTTTGTTCAGCAGCATCAGAT